ATATAAATTTGCTTACGGGGGTCCAACCCTACCCCTCCTCCCCCAGGGGGGGTCCAACCCCCCCCCCCCCCCCGGGAAAAGAATAGGATATTCAAACGCCCCCAATATTTTCTTTTCCGGCTTCCCGGGGGGGGGTGGTTCGAACTCCCCCCCTCTTCGGTGCCGGTGCTGGCGCCTGCGCTGGCGGCGGCCAACAGCACCAACGACAGCCGCAGCGACGATGACCAAAGAGAGCCCACAGGCCGCAACGGGAAAAACCAAGTCGCCATACCGAGCCTTCGCCCCCCCGAATGCCATCGGAGCCCCTCGGGAGTTCCGTGGGACGTCCAAGAAACGCCCAGGGGCCCTCACACATGCTCCTCAGACGCTCCCGAAACCACTCTGACGAGACCCCAAGAGGCATCCATTAGAACTCTGACCCTAAGCCAAGGCTCGGCGGCGGGAAGACCCAAAAACCACACCACCACCAACACCACAAACCACCACACCCCCACCTTCACAACCACCGACACCACCACCACCATCATCACAATCACCACAACTCACCACCACCACAACCCACCAGCACTACCACAAACCACTACACCACCACCACCGCCACCACAACCCTCCACCACAAGCACAACCCACCACAACCCACCACAACCACCACCACCACAAACCACCACACCACCACCACCACCGCCACCACAACCCACCACCACCACAACCCACCAGCACCACCACAAACCACAACAACACCACCACCACCACAACCACAACCGCCACCACCAACAACCCACCACCACCATCACCACCACCAGCACCAGCACCACGAACCACCACCACAAACCACCACGCCGCAACCACCACCACCACCACCACCACTACCACAACCATCACCATCACAACCCACCAGCACCACTACCACAACAACCCACCACCACCATCATCACCACCACCACAATCCACCACTACCACCACAACCACCAACACCACTACCACCACCACAACCCACCAGCACCACCACAATTCACCAAACCACCACCACCACCACCACCACAAACCGCCACACAACCACCACCACCACCAGCATCACAACCAAAACTTCCACCACCACCACCACAACCTACCACGTCGACGTCGACGTCGACGACGTCCACCACAACCACCACCACCACAACCCACGCCCGCCACCACCACCACCACAACCCACCTCAACACACCACACAACGCCACAGCAACCACCACCACCACCACAAGCCACCACACCAACACCACCACCACCACCGCCACCACAGCCAACCACCACCACAACCCACAACCACCACCACCACCTCCACAAACCACCACAAACCACCACACCACCACCAACAAAATTACCACCGCCACCAGCACCACCACCACCGAAACCACCTACCACCCACCGCCCACCACCAGCACCACCACCACAACCAGCACCAGCACCAGCACCAGCACCACCACAAACCGCCACGCCACCACCACCACCACCACCACCCACCACCACCTTAAACCACCACACAACCACCACCACCACAACGACCACCACCACCAAAACAACCCACCACCACCACAATCACAACCACAAGCCACCGCCACAGCCACCACCACCACTACCACCACAATCCACCTCCACAACAAACCACCACAACACCACCAGCACCACAAACCACCGCACAACCACCACCACCACGACAAACCACCACACCACCACCACCACAAACCATCACACCACCACCACCACCACCATTATAAACCACCACACAACCACCACCAGCACAACCACCACCACCACAACAATCCACCACCACCACCACCACAACAACCCTCCACCACTACAACCACCAACACAACCATAATCCACCGCACCACCACTACCGTTACAACCACCACCACCACTACCACCACCACAACCCACCACCAGCACCACCACAAACCACCACACCACCACCACCACCACCACCACCACCACCACCACACATCACCACACAACCACCACCACTATCACCACAACCACGACAAACCACCACACCACCACCACCACCGCCACAACCACCACCTCCACCACCACCACAACCTACCACCACATCCTCCGCCACAACCACAACCGTCGACGTTGTCCTCGTCGGTGCTCCCTGCCGCCAGCCGCCGCAGGCGCTGGGGCCCACCCAGAAAAAGAAGTCGCCGTCCTCGTCGACGCCCTCCGCCAGCCGCCGCTGGCCGCCGCCGACGCTGGCGCCACCCCGAGGAGAAGGAAATACGATAAGTAATTGGGGAGGAGAGAGGAAAGGGTGGGGGGGTCCCGTTCCACCCCCTCCAAGCGCCTATAGAACACGCTCCTCCTCTGAGAGCCGGTGCGCTCCCCCTGCGTGCCCACCCCGCGAGCGGCTCTCTGCAGGCCGCGGGCGGCGCCCGCCCGCGCCTGGTGCGTGAGCTGCCCTGCGCCCGCTGAGGGCGCCCCGTCTCTTTTGTTCGGGGGTTGCTTGAAGCGCCCCTGGCCAAAGCCGGAGACCTAACAAAAATTTGAGAGGCGAGTTTTTGATAGTTCTTGGCATCCGCGGGCCCTCACAAGGCCTCGGGACCGTCAAAAAACTACTCATAACGAAAAAACAGCCCTGGGGAAAGGATCGGAACTTTCGGCGAGAGCGTAGTTCAAAAGTCAGGACATTGCATGTCTGGGAGGTGCCCCAGGATTTCCAAAGATGCCCCCACGGCCTCCAGAGCACCTCCCACGAGGCCCAGGAAGCCCCAAGGGGCTACATAATCGAGCGAAAAGCTGGGGGCACCTTCGGCCAGGGGCACCTCTAGCAACCTCCGATCCATGCGGCGAGAGGAGGCCAGAAGACCGCTTCAAGTGAAGGCGCGGGATGGGGTTCAAAACCGTGCCTTGACAAGAGACCCGGAGCAGCTGTCCTGGTCGTGGCAGAAAGGAGTAAATCCACTTTCTTCAAATGTTTGCTGCTCAGGAAGTCTATCCTGCCGGTGTAGAAGCGCGCTTCTACTTTCGCGGCAATAACGGGTGTTATGGGGGGCGGGTGGAGGCGGGGGGGGAGCATAACGTAACGCCCCCCCCCCCCACCCTGCGGCTCTGGCACCACAGCGCCTGTACGCATTATAGCAATCACCACAGTGCGCAGCGCAATATGCACCGCCGCAGCCGCGTACACCACATCGCCTATGTACTCCGCAGTGCAAACATGCAGCACGACAGTGTCTTTTCCCCGGCACCCTCCTTCGATCATTATGATGTGCCAATGTTTACTGGACGATGAGGGCTCTCGAGCGCCGAACGATGACGATGACGACGACGACGATGAATAACTACAATCATGACACCGAGGACGTGGAGGGGTACGGGGATGGGGACAACGAGGACGAGGACGACGACGACGACGAGGCGAGGACGATGAGGACGAGGGCAAGGACGAAGACGAAGACAACGACAACGAGGAGGACGACGAGGATGAGGACGACGACGATAACGACGAGAACGACGAGGACGACAACAACGACGACGACGACGACGTGGTCTCTGGAGACCTCTAGAGGCGTCTGAAGACCCTTCGAGGCCCTCGGCCGCGACGACGAAGAGGACGAGGACGAGGACAAGGACGACAGGGACGAAACGAGGACGGGGACGAGGACGATGATGACGACGATGACGAGGACGATGACAAGGACAAGGACGACCAAGAGGACGGCGGCCGCCTCTGAAGGTCGCTCGAGGTCTCCGGAGGTCTATGGAGGTCTCTGGAGAGCTCTGGAGGCGAGTGGAGGCCCTTCGAAGCCCTCGACGACGACAACGACGAGGATGGGGACGACGAGGACGAGGACGCGGACGACGACGATGAGGACGAGGACCAGGACGACAGGGACGACGACGACGAGGCCGACGACGTGGACGACTACGATGAGAACGACTACGATGAGGACGACGACGAGGACGACGAGGACGAGGACGACGAGGACGAGGACGACGACGACGAAGACGACGACGGCCACGTCTGAAGGTCTCTGGAGTTCCATGGAGGCCTAAGGAGGTCTCCGAAGATCTCTGGAGGCGTCCGGAGGCTCTTCAAGGCCTTCGGCGGCGACGACGACGACGACGATCGCAACCAGAACGAGGAGGATGAGAACGACGACGACCGCAGGGACGAGGACTACGATGATGACGCAGACGAGGACGACGATGACGACGACTAAAGCAACGACCACGACGGCGATAACAACGACGACGACCACGACAGCAACAACGACGACGGCAACATCGACGACGACGACGACGATGACGACGACGACGACGACGGCGGCGGCGACGACGACGAAGAGGGGGACGACGACGACGACGACGTCGACGACGACGGCCGCCTCTGGTCTACAGAGGTCTCAGGAGATCTCCAGAGGCCTCTGGAAGCGTCAGCAGGCTCTGCGAGGCCCTCGGACACGACGACGGAAATTGATATGGCCTGCAAGCACCAACTGGCCTGCGAGCATCACAGTGGCAGTGCCGGAGGCGCACAGCGGGGGAGTGGGGAAGCGTTACGTTCTGGCGGGGCGGGGGAGGGGGAGGGCATAATGCGCGTTATGGCCAAGAATCATAAAACACGCTCCAGGATCCAGAACTCCAGAACCAGAGCACCTACAGTGGGGGCTCGGCCACAAGAAACCTCCGCAAGAAACCCAACCCTGAAATCCGCGCTTTGTTCAATGAAAATCCAAATTTGTCGATCGAAAATCATCAAGATCTTATTGGGGACCCATCGAAGTCCAAGAAACCCAGGGCACCCTGGCAAAATCCAACTGGTTTCTTGGCACGCGCCCCCACTCTATATAACACAAGTCGCATGCGCGTTCAATCTCAGGCCAGTAAGGCCAGACGCGAGCAAGCAAAAAGAGACGAGTGGGGGTGGGGGGGATAGTGGCGAGGGGGGCTGGAGAGATGTAGGGGAGGGGTCCAGAGACGCCGTCGTCTAGCCTCATTCTATTGTTCTTCGGAGGACGGTGAATGGGGTGGGAGGCTCAGACAGGTGGGGCAGCAAGCAAGGCGGCACATTCAGCACCCGTGAGCCCATGTAACAAGCTGCGCAATCTGCCGTAGTGGCCTGCACCGAAGGGGCCATGCTGGCGCCCTTCGCACGCGCGTCCAAAAAACTGCATAAACAACTAGACATCAGTTCACGCGAACCCAGGACAACTCTCTGGAGCAGCCTCACGTCCGTTTCAAGTCTTATGACATCCCGAAGGACCCAGCAACAACACCGACGCTCACTGCCGAACCTGAAAGAAAAAGCGGAACAGAACATGTGTGATCCCGGCAAACCGAAATATTTCCTCTCTTCATGCTTCTCTTCTCTTCTCTGCGCTCCTCTTTCGCTCTGTATGTGCCGTTGGACATGCCCCCTCCATAATTACAACTTGAGCAGTTGCCTGCCGCCGCACGGGGCCGTTTGGTGCCCTGCACGTGCAGGAAGCTGACGAAAGGAAGTCTTAGAGAAACTCTCTAAAGCAGCTGCGCCGTGTCACTCCAGGGTGGCGAAAGCAATGTGTCGTCTGTTCCACGTATTTCTCTAGCAGCGGTTACTAACGGTGAAGCCAACGTCCATTGACTAAGCAGTGCAGCAGGCCAACTAATTTCCATTGCCAGAAGGCAGTGACAAAAAAAACAGATGCTACAAGCACGCTGCCCTCTTCCACTCCATCCCTCCTCCCTGCCTGCCCATTAAAACATTCAGAATGTGAATAGGCGGAATTACATACCATGCATAGATGTTTGTGTGCAAAGCATTCCACTCATGCCTGCTATGAACCTCTTGCGTGCAGTCGAGTTATAAGACGCCAGATGTTCTACTGCAGCTGCCCCACTTCTGTGTGACGCAGAAGGCGGACATGCTTGCACCTAACTGTCCTTTGACGGCGGGTGCGGCAGCCATTGTGCGTCAACTGGATAGTGTAGGTGTCCTCCTCATGATCGGTAGCAACGATGACCGCATGCGCGCCTGACGGGTAAGTGCCGACCACCTCGACGAGTGAGCCAAGCACAGGTAAGCCTGTGGAAAGCTGCGCGCCCGCCTCTTCTGGCAGCTCTGGCATCAGGCCCCCTGCCAGTATCGAGCCTGTCCATGGCTGGGCCGAGGTGCCTGTGCCGCGCCACCTGGCCGCCAAGCCGTCCGTGGAGCAGCCAGACCCGTCCGATGAGAAGGTGCTGCTGGAGTAGCCTGGCGGCTGCGTGGAACACTCGCTGCGCCCCTCGTTGAGGTCGTCCTGCAGGTCCGCCCAGGCGGCCTTCTTGCTGCGCGACGCTGATGCACTGGCGGAGCACTCGCTGAGTGCTTCGGACTTCCTCGGGTCGGGGGCCTCCGGGACCAGGCCAGCGAGGAGAGTGCTGGCCAGGACGGCGTCCGTCTCCTTGCCAGCGCCGCCCTCCGGTGCGCTGGACAGCCCCGGAAACAGCACGCAGGGGACCGCGGGCGCGCCGGGCGCGTCCGCAACCCCGTGCCCCTCCGTGCCGAGTACCGTGCTCAGCCCGGACGAGGACACGCCGCGCCCCCGCGACCCGCAGCGGGTGCGCAGGCGGCGGAGGCGCTGCACCTTCCTGGTGGGCGGCGGGAAGTCCACCCGCACACCGCCCTCCAGCACGATCGGCTTGCACTGGTCCAGCATGGCCTCATGCATGACGGGGCTGTTGCGGTAGCGCTCGACGTGCAAATCCAGGCCTTGGGTGAGGCTCCAGCTCACGACTGCCTTCCCCTCGCCTCCGTGGTTCGAGGATGGGGTCCTGAGGGATGGGGTCCCCAGGAAAGGAACGGATCCAAAGGTGCGTTCACATTGTTTGAGGCACCTCGTCCTTAGGACCCCATCGCTGAAGACCCCATCTTTGAACCACCGATCGCCGGGCTGGCACCAGCTGGCGCCGTCGAGTTCGGCGATCGTGCGCCGAGCGTGCTCCTGGCTCGACATGTTGACAAACGCGTATCCGAAGTTCTGGCGCTTCGAGAAATCGATCGGTCCGCCTCCGTGCCCTCGGCACGGTGGGGCGTGTTAGAGCGTCTTGGGTTTTTGGCATCGCTCGGACGTCCGTTCCTTGTGCAGTGACTGGGTTTCTGCGTTTTGTTCCATATGATTACACGTACCCCAAGATGGTCCTCATTTTCTGGCGCTGGCCTCGCCGAGCAACATGCACAGGTCCGAACGATGCCAAGGGCTGTCGCGTGTTTCTGGCCTCTGTAAATTTCTAGGGGGGGCCTCCTGGTCGCAGGCGCGGCCGAACAAGTCGTCCCCCCCAAGTTTGTGTTCTACAACGCGGCGTGAAGACGGCCCCAAAGATGATCCAACGACTCTCCAAAGACTCCAATATGCCCTCAACAAACCCAAACAGGGTCCCAAAAATCCACGGGGGGGCCCAACGAACGTCCAAACTAGGCCTCATAAGGCCAAACACAATACCACGCCATAGCTCTGTCGTTTTGCTTCCCAAGTCGTTGAGTTTAATATCGCCTTGGTCAACCTTCAGAAGCCCAGAACGAAAGCCTCCAAAACGGCCCACCCCAAGAGGGCCTCAACGCAACCAGAAAAAAAAACCAAATAGCCCAACACCTCCTCTAAACAATTCCGAAAACACCCAATAAATGCCCAGACAAGCCAAATCCGCCGGCCCCCGTGGGGGACCAGCAGGCTGCGGGGCAAAAGTGTTCCTGCTCCCTGCATTTCCACTTTTTATAAGTGGTTTATTTTTTCTAATCACACGATTGAACTCCGCGCGAAAACCCTACCCCGTAAACCGCCCAGCTTGCACGCCGGATTCGCGTTGCCTGAATCATAAATCTGATCGATTCGTGCTCCGCGTTTCGGGGCCGCAGCCCCATGCAAATTGCATCGCGCTGGCGCTCCTGACGGCACAATCCGTTATTAATGACAACGTGATCGCGCTCTCGCGGCCGCAATCCCATGTAAATTACGACGCGCTCGCGCTCCTGAGGCCAATTACTTTTGCAATTGCAGCGACTTCGCGCTCGCCCAACCACCACCCCTTGCAAATTGCAACACGTTCGTGTTCCCGAAGCCGCACTGCAGTGAATCCTCCTCCTCCTCCTCCTCCTCCTACGACGACGACGGCAACGCAGGGTCTCGGCGGGCGCGGCCCTGTCCAACCGAGAACTCCGCCCTTCGAGCTTCGAGGCTCACGTCGAAGCTCGAGCCCTTCTGGCCTTCGGGGACCCTCCTCATCGCCACGGCCGGGCGCGGCTCGAAAAACTCGTGCGCCTAACCCTGGGAAGTGTCTGGGGGCAAATTCCAAGCGGACTCCTCCTCCTCCTCCTCCTCCTCCTCCACGGCAAATGACAAATGGAGTCTTCCCTCCACCCTCCCTCCTCCTCCTCAAAATCCTCGCCCTCCTCCTCCTCCACCTCCCCCTCAGGTTTGAGAGCGTCAATGCAGGACCTGGGATGGGGAAGGCGCTGATCTCGCCGACGGCGTCGGAAGAGCGGCGCGTCCACGCTCGCGCCACCCCGCGGCGCGCGCGCGCCCGTAAGGGCCCTGGAAGGAGAGAGAGAGAGAGAGAGAGAGAGAGAGAGAGAGAGAGAGAGAGAGAGAGAGAGAGAGAGAGAGAGAGAGAGAGAGAGAGAGAGAGAGAGAGAGAGAGAGAGAGAGAGAGAGAGAGAGAGAGAGAGAGAGAGAGAGAGAGAGAGAGAGAGAGAGAGAGAGAGAGAGAGAGAGAGAGAGAGAGAGAGAGAGACGAACAGGAAGAGAGCGAGAGGGGGGGCGAGAGGGGGCGGGAGCAGAGCAAGATGTCGACTCACTCCACTCTGTAGGCGTCGACGATCTGCAACACCTTGACGCGCAAACAATGCCCTCCGCGAGCCTCGCACCCTAAGATGTACTCCTTAATTAGAGGTTCAATCTGCCTCCTCCTTGCCATGAACTTCTGCGCGAGGAACTGGGGCTTGCTGGCCCCAAAGTGCTCCTCCGCCTGGCGGTGCTCGCAGTTCGACGCCCACGCGGTCACCCAGCTGCACTCTCTGTTTTTTTTTCTTTTCCACAAGCTGCATCATCGAAGTCGTGGTGCGATAGCTCTGCAGAGCGAAGAGAGAAACATCCCCAGCCTGATCGGCGAGGAATCTCTCGCGTTGCTCCTTCGTGTATCGCATTGGAGATCCAAGGGCACTGTGCGCTACCAGCAATGCTGCCCGGGCGTATTCCATGGAGGTGCACCCCTGCGCCGTCTGCTCCGCGCCGTTCGCTACAGATAACGCCTGCCCGCGAGCGTCCTCTTGAAACGCCAAGACGGGGAACACCTTCTTCTTGGAAGCCACTTCCCAGTGCTCCTCGAGAGTGCCCGCCAAGGCAACAAAGGCTTTGCGGCCCCACAGTGTCTTCGACAGTTTCACGCGGCGCCACCCCGAGAATCCGATTGCCCCCAGGGCGGGCAAGAAGGCGTCGATGCATACTCTGCGGGGCATGGTAACATAGCACCGGTTCCTATGTCATGGCCCGTAAGCACCATCGCCCTGTAGCCCTACTGTCCTGTAGCCCCATGGCTCTACCGCCCAATCGCCCTGCATCCAAACAGCCGCATAGCCATATAGCCCTATAGCCCTAGAGCCTTATAACCCAATAACCCTATAGCCCGATGGCCCTATAGACCTATAGCCCTACATCACTATAGCCCCATAGCCTTATAGCCCAATCGCCCAGTAGCCCAATAGCCCTACAGACCTATAAACCCATAGCCCTGCAACTCCATAGCCCTATAGCCCTATGGCCCCATGGCCTCATAGCCCCGACAAGCATCTCATTTTTTTTTCCTACGGCTTGATTCCATGATCAGAACTTGCCTCGGTAGGGGCCCTCGCGAACTCAAAGGATTCAGTGCCCTGCGCGAAGCGCGTCGCAAAGATGGCGTCGCTGCTCGCGATGCGCAAGCGCCGACCCGCCGCCTGCACGCGCGCGCCCCTTCCTGAACGTCGAGGCGAACCTTTCAGCGTCGTCTCCCCTATCCGGAAGTTGTGCTTGGCCCAGTACTTGACCGCCGCCTTCAAGCCTTCAGGGCCGCGGACCCCTCGACCCAGAAGAAACATCCTGGAGAAGTGCTTCACTGAGGTGGCCTCGGCACCGCGGCAAAGTTTGACGAGTTGAACGAACTCTGGAATGTTCGTGCTGAACGCCTTCGGATTCACACCAGAGTGTACCATATCAAGATGCAACTTCGTTCGACACCGAAGTGACTGTCCGCGCACTTTCCGAGAGCTCCACGGCTTGCAACGATCACTCCCTTGGCGCCTCTTCGCCATGCCCCAGCCAGCAGCACCATCGACAGAAGCAGCTGCGACCCGACCGGCCGCGCTACACTGAGCGCACTTGCCGCGCGAGTTCAAGTCCTTCTCCGGGTCGTGGCAGATAATGCGCTCGAAATCCGCCACCGTGCCTTTAGCACGTGGGGGTGTGTTAGAATGCCCCTTGATGGATTCTGTAAAACAATATCCAAGGCCGACCCCCCCTCCCATTATCCGGAGACGACCCCCCGCCCTGCGTCGCACGCGGGATAAAACAACCGCGCCCCTGAAATTATCTCCCCGGCGCCCTTTCCGGCCTCCCGACGGCCAAAATCGCCTCCAAGACGGCTTCCAAGACGGCCCAATCGACACCAGACTGGGCCTAAATGACCACAGACGGCCTCGAGATGGTCGCAGAAGCCTTGAAGACACCCTGCGGATGCTCCAAGAGGCCCCCCAGGAGAGCTCGGAGAGCAGCGAGCAATCCCACCCACCCTTTAGGGCGTAGGTGGTTTAGGGAGCTTCCTCTTCCATCTGCTCCTTCTTCCCCTTCGGGGAGGAGTTCGCACCGCCCCCTGCCCTCCCCTGGGCCTGAACGAAGGAGGGGCCGCTGGTCGCCAGAGCTGCCAGAACAGCCCAACACGGCTCCAAGAGAGCCTCGGGGAGCTCAAGATGACCCCCAAGATGGCTTTAAATATCCCAAAATGCCTCAAGATGGCTTCCAAGATGCTTCAAGAGGCCGCAAGACCGCCCCAACACGGCTCCAAGTGGCCACGGAGCCTCCCAAGGGGGCCTCCCAAGAAGCCTACATGGCTTCAAAACCAAATGATGTGTTGTTTGTTTCTCCTTGGCCTTTTCGCTGCCCACGCCCACGCGAGGCCTCAAGATAGCTCCAACATGGCCGAAGAGGGCCCCAGGAAAAGCCCAAGATCGCACCAGAACAACCTCAAGAGCGCCCAAGAGCGCCCCAAGAGCGGCCTCAGACGAACCCAAGACGCGATTTATAGAGCTTCCGATGGAGGGGCGATAAGTGACGCCCATCCCCCCTTCGATCGACCTCCTCAGAGATGGCCCCAAGATCGCTCCCAAGGCTCCCGAGAGCGCCCCGGGAGAGCCCCAAAAGGCGCCGACGCAGCCCCAGGAGACCCCCAAGAAGCCCCAAAGAGGCACCCAAGAGACTCACAAGAGGCCTCAAAAAGCTCCCCGAGGCACCCGAGACGCTTCAAGGCCTCCGGGACCGCCAAGACGCTCCCAGGACGCAATAAGAGGCCTTCAGGACGTTCCCAAGAAATATCCAACGAGACTCTGAGAGGCATCCAAGATGCCTCTGGCCATTCTGCTCGCCCTTCTCCTCCTCCTCCGGCTGCTGCTCCTCCTCCTCCTCATCCGCCTTTTCCTCCTCCTTCCTCCTCCCTCCTCCCGCTCCCCCTCCTCCACCTGCAGTTCCTCCTCTTCCTCCTCATCCGTCGCCGATTCCTCCTCCATCCTCGCAGTGTTCGGTAAGACGGCTTCCCCCGCCTGTTATACTCTGTATGCTCCCTCACTTCCCTGATCACCTCCATTCGCATGGGCGTCATTTCTGGATGGGCTGGTGGGGAACGCGAAGCGTCTAGAATATGCGCTTCTAGCTTTTGGGGCGTTTTGCAATTGTCGGTGCCGACCGCCAAAGACAGCCGCAGTGGGCTCCAAGATAGCTCCAAGACCGCCCAGGAGAAACTCAAAAGAACCCGAAATCGGTCCAACAGGCCCGAAATATTGCCCCAGAGGCCCACGAGAGGCCGCCGAGACGGCCCTACAGCGCTTCGTAAAATCACCAAGACGGCCCAGAGAGACCCTCAAAACGGCATCCACAAGCATCAGACGGACCATGCACCACGCAAGATAATCCAAATGCCCCCGAGGCCCCGAACAAACCCCGGGGCGCCCCCGCAACCTCCCTAAATGCCCTCTAGGAAAACCCGAAAAGCAACAAAAGCATATATTCCCCCCTAGTTGTTGAAAGATGTTTACGCTTACGCTTCCCAACCGGAGAGAACGCGAAATCCACATCATAATGCATCTCAGTTCTAACCTCCTTCTGACTTGCCGCGGACCGTGAACTCAACCTCCTACATCCATGTTTCTTCGCGTTGCGCTGTTCCATAGGCGCGGTCGCGGGGTTTGCCGAAGGCAGGCGGGCATTCTGGCCCCGGCATGCTCTCGCTGTTCTCGGAAGGGCTTCAGAGTGACCAGTGGCAAGAATGACCCTTGGTGAGTCCAAAATCAATGGACATCGCCCCCCCCCTTCCTTTGGGTGTCCAGCTGTGCCCGTTTGTCGAACTGCGTCCAGCCGCGGCGAAACCCAGATGCCCCACGATGCAAAAATTTGCATCGCGGTGCGTCGCGATGCAAATCTCCAGAAAAACCGGAGATTTGCATAGCGCGCTATCGAAACGCTGGTTTTCAGCAGGTTCGCTGCGATGCAAATCTCACGATGCGCGATGCAAATCTCACGATCGAAATTTGAAGCGCGTCGCTATCGAAATTGAAATTTCGAGCGCGTTCGTCGTTATCGAAATTCGCGTGCACCGCTATCGAAATTTGCGCCTGTCGCTGATCGAAAATCCTCGGGCTTTTCTGCTCTTCCTCCTCGTCCTCCTCCACGACCTCCTCGTTCGCCTCCCCTTGTCCTCCGCGAACTCATCATCTGTTCTTCTTCTCCTCCTCCTTTTCCTGGTGCCCCCCCTCGCCGCCTCCTCCTCCTCCTCCTCCTCTGCCCCCTCCTCTTCCTCGCCCTCTGCCTTTATTGTTACTTTGCCTCCTCCTCCGCCTCCTCCTCCTCCTCCACCTCATCCTCCTACTCATCCTCCCAACTCTCCCCTTCCTGCCCCCTGGCCCCTGCTCTGCCCCCCCTTTTCCCTCAGCCCCCCCCCTCCCCGTCCTCCTCGTCAGCTGGTCCCATCATCATCATCATCATCATCCTCATCATCAGCATCATCATCATCAGCGTCACCATCATCATCATCATCATCAACAACATCACCACCATCATCATCATCATACTCACCATCAGCATCATCAGCATAATCAGCATCATCATCATACTCATCATCATCATGATGACCACCACCACGACCACGACCATCACCATCATCATCATCAGCAGCATCATCACCATAACCATCAAATCATCATCGTCATCGTCGTCAGCATCAGCATCATTATCATCACCATGATCGTCGCATTCGTCATCCCGAATCACAAGCACCATGATCACCAGACTCGCCATCATCGTCGTCTTCATCATCATCAGCAGCATCATCATCATCATCCTGTCCTTATCATATTCCTTTTCCACCTCCCGCTGACACTGCTCCTCCAGTCGTCACCCCCCTTCCTTATTCATCCGATGCTCACCCCCATCATCCTCGTTGTTTCCTCCTCCTTGTTCTCCTCCTCTACTTTCTCATCGACCTCTAGTGTCTGTTCCTCCTCCACCCTATCGAGCCCTTCCTCCTCCCTCGCTCGTCCCGTCCTTCTCCTTCCCCCCCTGAGCCCCCTCATCTTCCTCGCCCTCCCTCGTCGGGGGGAGGGCGCCTAAGACTTCCTCTCCCGCCAGTCACATCCGAAGTTCTCACTCGAAGCTTCCTCTGCATCCCGAAAAGGGGGCTCCGTGCACTTCCGCCGCCGTCTTCCGTGCAGGTCCTTCCTTCCGTCCTCCTCTGCGATTGTCGGCCTTC